AACACATTAATCATCAACTCATAAATTTTAACCACAAAATGTCAAAAAGTATTGAGCGCATAAAATATGAACGAGAGTAGTACGACGAACACATCAAAACTAAACTAAACGAAATACCAACAGGAAAAAAAACGAACGCAAAAAGGAAATGAAAATCACTTAGAAGTGTAGTAAGTGCTATAAAATAAAAACAACAAACTGTTGCACGACAGAGCATTACGAGAAGTGCACTGCGCGAAAATATGTAGAGAGATAAGAAAACAAAATATGTTGAAAAAAAAATGTTTAGGGAAAGAAGAAAAAGATATCAGCGCCTAAATACTCATTACTTCTAAGATAATTTTTTTTTGTATTTTCGAGTAGAGAGAGAGAGAGAGAACAATACAGAGTGATATACTATTGATCTTACGATAATCGCTTCAAAGAAACTTCAATGGATCGACGAAGGGAAATGTGTCTAGCTACCTTCATTCCAAATAACAGACGCTTCTTGTCGCCAAGGTTTTGAAATAACAACACCGAAATGGATATATGAAGGACAAATGCGTATTCTTTTCATTTCGTCGATCAAGTCGGAATTTGAAGAAATGTCAGTGGCAGGGGACTCAGGGAAGAGGTTGTTTTTCATTCTGTTGCCCCGAAAATCAGCGTTAGCTCCACTTCTTCTCATCCCTAATGCGCCTTTCGAAATATGACAAATGATCTCAGAACTTTTATGGTAATCCCTTAACAAGTTCTGCATTTCTCGGTTGTTGAATAATATTCAGGGTGTGTGTCGTTTCAAATAGGTTCGTTCTTCGCCGAAATGTCTTAGCTGGCGAAATTTTCTTAGATGATGAGAAACGCTGATATTTTATGTAATTTTTTTATCTGATACAATTATACCGTTCATGTGACGATCATTATGAAAGAGCGGTCTGTCATCTGATTACGTGGAATGATGTTTAGGAAGAGCTACACCTTTTAAGGACCGGTTGTTCAAGGTGTTATCACTACCTCCCAGTTAAACATCATGGTCGATAAAGCAGTCGTTGTATATTAACTTGTAGGTAGTGATAACCAGACATTGAACAACCGGCCCTAAGTGTGATAATGTAATCAAGCAGGTCAAGAAGTTCATTGAAGACGATTACCGTGTAGCGCGACCAATTGAACAAACAAACTTAATTCAAAATGTCCTAAAATATATGTATTCTTGAATATAGATCTTAGATAAAAAAAGAGATATACTGAAAGAGTATCATTTTGGAACATTTTCAACAGCTTTTAAGATCACCTTGTCATGTCTAAGACCTGCGCTAGATGGGCAACGTGAATGTTGAAACCACTGCTGAAGCAACAGTTCGTCGAGGCTACTTGCGGGTTTTCGAATCTGTTTAACGGGATTAAGGTCTACTTTATGATACATCAGATTGTTTATGGAGACGAAGATTGGGTTTATTGCTAGGAATTTGAGTCATAGTAGAAAACTAAGCAGAGGAACCAAAAAGCTACATGCCCACGTAAGAACTTCTAGAGAGCTCTTCTTCCTCTATATCAGAATCGGTGGGAAGGATGATTGTATAGCCCGATTATAAAGGAAAAAATCTATATTACAGAAAAATAACAAATTATTAAAAAAAAAAACTAAGAGATGGCTGTCCTATACAAGTGTGGCTTCGGAAAAGTAAATCAGCCTGCATGAGGTCCAGTATTTATTTATTTCAAAGTTATAGAAATATTATGTTATATTTTGAAGTTATAGAAAAAATCTGGCAGCTTCTACTTGCCGGATTGTTGTAGCAGATTTCAGGCGCAACTATCGGCTATGCAGATTTTGATCAATAATGTTGAACGTAAAATTTAGAAATATATTCAACCAAGATGAAGGTAAAGAAACGAAACGTTAGCTAGAACAGTGTCAAAATGACTTGGAAGAAAAATGATTTGCAAAGTTCTGATTAAGTGAATTTTTAAGTTTTTTTTTTGCTCTCAATAAACTTAAATTTCATTTTAGTCGTGGCAATGCAAACGCTTTTTCTACATATTTTGTTGTCAAAACGCGAAAGCGAAAGTCTACTTTTGCATGTAAACACCCACCAGAAGGACCTTTTCTTGCAGAAATAACTTTCGAAAAAAATTTCGAGGTGTAAAAATGCTGTTAGACGTGGCAAAGCAAACGCGTTTTCTACGTAATTTTGCTGCCAAAATGTGAAATCGAAGGTCTACTTGCCCGTGTAAACACTCAGAAAGTCCGTCTTGCAGACTTGCACCAAATAACTTTCGCAAATTGCAAGGTGTAACTGCAACTAAAATTACGGAAATCGCTTTCAAGCAATAATTTTAACTTGCAAGTGATGTCATTCCAAACGAGGCGTGCCGTGTAACATGAATTTTTGCGAATTTCTATAAAATCATAAAAAAAAATTTGCATCACATCAGCAATGTGAGTGAAAAATCATTCTCTTTCATCTGGCACTTTTCATATTATAGTAATAGTATTAGAAAATACATATTTTTCACTTGCATAAATTGAATCTGTGAAACATACATAGCTATTGGGATAAACTCCTCCAAAATTATTTAGATAAAAAAAAATTAATGTAAAACTACTTTTCTTTCTAAAAACCAATTTTCCCCTCTAATTTTCTTCACTGCACTTAATTTTTCATGACCAAAATTTCCTACGCGTGCAACATACATTTAAAATTCCCTCAAGCATTCAAAAACAAACAAAGAAAAAAATCAGAAAAATTTTCCCATCGCGCACATTAACATGCTGCTCTCCACTTACAATTTGCTCCTTTAGCTCTTTGCTGCGCAGTGGTCCCAGCCATTGATGTAATCCAATATAACGTTTCTGCACCATTTTCAATGCGGGTGCACCCTGAGCGTAGGGGCCGCCCAACAAAGCGGTGGCAGTCTCCAAAACGACCATATTATTGCTGTCCGTTTCGCGGCTTTTTTACGCACTCTTTTTTTTTTGATTTTGATTTATTATTTATTTGATTTTTGTTGCTCTTGTAGTTGTACTATAGCGCTGATTTAGTGCCAAGTTAGCTAAGCTATTCCCCTGTTTTTGGCGGTTTTTTCGTGTTGAGTTTAGAATATTGGAAGCGCTAAATTTTGTATTTATTATTGCACTCACACACACACAAAGTAGTAGGGTGATGCAGTAGCTTGTTGCACAAATTTGAAATTATTTGTTATTGAATTAAATTTTTGGTGTTTTTTTTTGACACTTTGTGTTTTAAATTCAGTTAGATTTGTGGTAAAGTGTTTTTGTATTAATTTATTTTAATCTGTTTATTTTTTTTGTTTTTTTTGTATGGGTGTTTGTTGCCCTGCCTCTTTTGTTTGTTTCAGCAGGAAATTTGTATTTGCCTTTGTATGCGTTTTAAATTAAAGCATCCGGTTTGTGTTGTTGCTATTAATGTTATTGTGGTGTTATAGCGCACTTCGGCTTCAACGCTAAGTAAATAAATGCTTGAACACCAACACACTGTTACAGAGAGACACACACACACACGCAGAGCGAATCAGGAAACCAACACTAAAATGCAGCGAAATTACAATTCATTCACCAGACTTTGGGCTCAGCGGGTGAATTATTTATGCACAGACCAATTGTAAACTATAGCGCTGGTTGTTCTTGTAAATTTGTATTGTTGTTGTTGTTGTTGTGATGGCTAGTGTAGTGCAGCTATGCAGCTGTAATATAAATTACACTTTAGACACGTTTGCGCGGCGGAGGTTAGATAAAGCGATTTACACTATTTGGTGCTTTTTTTGTGAATGAAAATTATTTTGTTTTTCGTGAAAAAAATTTAATTTTTTTATACAAATTAGCTATTTCAATTGGCAATTAACTTCATACGTTTCGAAGTATTTTAACAGTATTCTTTAAATATTTTAAGCAGTAATGTTTTTAATTAAAATAAATTTTTATAATTTTTTTGTTTGGAATTTGGCTAGCAAAATTAGTTTTTTTCTAATTATTGCACATATGCTTATATTTTAAGTTATTTAGTTGGATCACATATACTTTTTTGCGCGAAACAAAATATTTTTTTTTTTTTTATAATTTTAGATTTTTTTTTTTTTTTTAATTTCACTTAAAGCAATACCGGCTACTTCGAGGCTGTGTTTGCATGAAAACTTGTGTTTTTTTATAATTTGCGAATTATTTTTTTGTACACTTTTTAGCGAAATGTGAAAATTTTTTATGAAGTGTTTTTAAGATAACATAAATTTTTGTGTTAAGTTTTTGTGTGCAGCATTTGCGTGAATTTAAAGTTTAGAATGCATTTGCTTTTGCTTAAAAAATTTTCCCGATTTATTTTTTATTTTTTGCTAAAACGCTTAACTGCGCTTATTTGTATGCAGCTTTTAATGATTTTTAAGTTTTTTTTTTTTACTTCCTCAAAATTTCATATGCATGTCTCTACATATTTCATATGCCTTATTGCTGTTGTTGCTGTTCTTTTTTTACTACGCCACAACACGAAATACTCTTACAAGCGAGTTTCAATTAAATTTAATCCCGTATAACGCTGTGAAAAAGCAAATAACTCACGCAAAACTGTTTGTTGTTGTTATTTGACTATCGTTTTTATTGTTGTTGCTGCTGACTGTCACACTTAGTGGCGTTGCTACTGCTGCTGCTGTTCCTTCCACTGCCTGGCTGTTGTTATTTGTGCACAATAATCTACATAAAATCCTTTTTTAATCCCGCAGCAAGACACACGAACATAAAATAATAAGCACGCGAAGGACACAAGCATACATATGTATGTACATACACACACACACACACACACGCGTAGCAGGGTGTCACTGCTTTATTGTTATTGTTGTTGGTGTTGTTGTGAAAGCGCTTGAGTAGTTGTATTTGCGCAACAAATGCGATTTTTACAGCATAAAATTTGTAATCTTGCCAGTTGTTGTTGTTTTTGTTTTTATGCACACAATCCAATTACGAAATCCTTAAAAACAAGCAGCGAGCACGTTTCAGTGCGGATTGTTGATTTTAAATTGGTCGTTATATTGATTTCGTAAGAAAACAAACAACTATGTAGAATTTTTTGAAGCATACCACAAGGCGTTCCAACACCTGTTTACACGCCCATATAGCGCACGCCCAACAAGTGGAATCGATTTGAAGGCGAACTTTAATGTTTTGTAATTTTATGCGAAATTTTTTTTGAAATTTCAAAATTCTCTAAAATTTTATTTTCGAATTTTTATATGATTTTTCTCTTTTGTAGGCACTGTGCACTAGATTTGTGTGAATTTTTTCGAATTCCAAGCCTTACAGTTAGGTACAATAAAAGTCTGCACTTTTAATTGTGGGCGCTTACTTAGCCTCAAGGCGCACTCTTAGAACGGAAATCGTTTAAACCGTCAACTTGTGACTTCCGTTGTTGAATGTTGCACGTACACACATAAAGGCGCGGCGTAGTGTAAAATAAAGCGCGACTTGAACGAGCGTTGTTTATAATCAAGACACTGAGAGGAAGTGTCATGTACCGTTAAGGAAATCAATTTTGTGTAAATTCCCTATTTACTCGTATTTACGTATTTATTTTTCTTAGATAAACAAAATACGCCCTCTGACTCTCTATGCTTTTAGTTAACTTTCAGTTGCCTTTTAAAGCTTTCTTACGCCGCTTCGTATTTCTTTAGGCCTGCGAAAACAGAAAATTCAATACACTCACTTTATAAAAACAAAACAGTTACGAATTTAATTGAACTATCCAAATTGCTTTTTTCTGAATTTTTTTTTGTTTAAATTTTTTAGCAGAAAAATTTTCTTTCTCCAGCGCATAAAATGCACACAAAATACTATTTTTTATTGCAACTTTTAAATATTTTGCTTAACAACACGTTACAAACGGCGGCGAGGATGAAAACAACGACGACGACCACAACGGTGACTACGGCGAGACGAAACGAGAAGAGACGTTTTAACGTTACGACAATAAATTTTCTTCATACAACTTTGGAGGAAAATACGATCCACAATGTTCAAAGTTCCATCGCGAACTGAATTGAAGTCGCAAAGTCTGCGATGAAAATTGCGGCGACCAGGCAGGCAGGCAAGCAGCTGCACACACTACATAGAGGCTAGAGTGGCTCCTGAACGGCAGCAGAGCGCTGATTTTGATTTTGAGTCAGTGTGTTGAACAGCAGCAGGCGAAAGTCGACAATCGGCAAGATACAAAAACAAAAACAAAAAACGAAAACAAGAACAAAACAACACACAATATACAGTCAACAGACGGCAAAATACGAACGAAGTAACGAACAAAAACCACCGCACGAAAAAGCGAGCGAGCGAGCAGCTGTAGAAGGCAATTAGAACAATACAAAGGCGCGGCGGCGGTAGTTGTTAAACGAGGAACGCCGCAACGTATGCAGCGTTGCCACATGTAGGCAATTTCGCTTAATATAAAGCAGAGCAAAGAGCGCCCGACCAACAGATAAGAGAAGAGATGGCTAACAAATTTTTTCCCCCGAGAGTCAGAGTGATTAGCGCAAAGTGCTGCTCTCACTGCAACTAAGAGCATGAACTGCACTGAACTAAGAGCATACGTGCAATGAATTAAGAGCGTTTGCCTTGTAGAGTTGCATTTCGAAAAAAAAAATAGCAACAATAAAGACGACACATGAAAAGTCGATTTTGTGCCATTATAAAGTATGGCATGCTTTCGTTAATTCTCTCCCTCTCTCTACCCCAGTAAGCATAAAATGAGCGCGCGCGACACACCTACCCTCAAAAATCTACATAACACTGCTAAAAGCATTGTTGCTATGTATGATGAAGTCAACTTGCTACACCCAAAGAATGAAAGATAAGCAAAAGAACAAGCGCTCTTCAGCGCACACACCCACTTCTACATATTTTTCGCTCTTAGTTTTTATCTATTTGCAGCCAGAGAAAATTTTTCATAGATTGCTCTGCTTCTGCAGTTTATATGCCGCTTTTACAGTTAGTTTGTTGGGCATCTCGATTTTGTGTAGACTTCGCTTGTTGCATGTGGTGCCAGCGTTGACTTCTCTGCTTCCAGTTCGAGTACTCTTTGATTTTTGTTAATGTTTGGAGATGTATGCTCGCTCACAATTTGTTATTGCCAGTTGGAACTCCAAAGTCTCCACTGACTCTTAGCTACTACGTTCACAAGTAAGCAATGTCTACTTTTTAGCTCATAGTTTTTTTTTTTATCTTAGATAAAAATTAATGCGATAGAATGTTGAATTTATCTGAATTAACAGGTTGGTGGCGAAAGCAGCAAAGAAATTGTGTACGATGCATTACGATAGATTAGGTTGAAGTGGCCGCCAGTGACCACATCAGCACACTAGGGCCCATTGTGATACTACGCGGTACGTTAGAACCTTCATACTAAAGACCATCGTGTGGAGTCCGCAACACAAAAGTTGCCGTATTTCCACTTTGGCTATGTCGGTTAAACCTTCGAGAAGTGTTGAGCCTAAGTACTTTCATCGGTTTGTTGGCAATGCGCGTAGCTTCTGCAGATGTCGTTGTAGGGAACCCACAACCTCTCCGCGTGCCCGCCGATGGCAACAGGGTCTGTCAGCAGGCCCACGGCTGTGGCCAAGTGCCCTCTGCTCAGCATTAGGAGACGATTCGACCGCTTCTCGCTCCATTTTGGCCACATAAGTTTTGAATTCGTACAAGTGGTGAGATTATCCCACCTGTCCTTTGCTAGTTTAAATCCCGCGAGCGACATGCCTAAACCCTTCCTGGACTGCAAAAGTGGAACCGATGTACCCTATCTGGCAAGTCCATCATCTCGTTTGGAGATCTGCGGCAGTCCGCTAGGCTTTTTGAACTGCAAGTGACCGAGCGACTTCAGCTTGAAAGACGCTGCATTAGTCGGGTGGGCGAAATAATTTAACCAGCCCCAGCTGAGATGGTTTGTAATGATTGGAACACAGCCCAAAATTTTTCCGATCACACGATTGGGGTACCAGTTTCGCGGAGATTAAACAAGTGAGTTGGAGGAAGAGCAGCGACTTTGATGTTGAAAAAGTAGGTAAAGTTAAGTTGGCTGGCAGCCACCATCTAGTTAAGGAGAGAGGCAAACTTAGGCCTAGTGTGTCTATTGTGATATCATTTGTGGGCCTCGACTTATTCTCGTCCGCCAACCTATAAAAAATTAATTGGTTACATTAATAAATCGAAAAAACTTCATGAGTGCCTTCTGCGCTTAGGACCGTCAGGTATTCGAAGAAGTAATGGTGCTCCGCTAAGGCAAGGGCATGGCAGTTATATAGATATTATGTTTTCAATTTCGTCCTCATTACGGCAGTTGAAACAAAAGTCATTAGCCGGCAGGCCTATTGTAACTGCTCATATTCAAAATCTCTGCGGATTGATGTCCATACTTCTGGCAACACTAATCCAATTGGAGTGTACGGTGCGAATGCTGTGAATGATCGCCGGACAAAGAAGCGGTTTACTCGATTCCGTTGCGAACATTTTTTGAGTCATAAATGCACTTCGCTCTATTCGGCAAGTCACTGGAAAAGTCGATGAAATAAGGCACAAATGGATAAGCAAGACCGGCATGTAAGCTGTCAGGAGATAGCGAAGGCACTGAGCATTAACCAATGGACAGTTTGGAATTATTTAAACAGAGCAGGCTAAACAAAAGAAGTTCGATATTTGGGAGTCACACGAAATAACGCTGAGAGTTGCTGAAACGCAACGAAATTGAACCTTTTTGGAAGTGAATCATTAAGGACGATGAAAAAAATAGATCGAAAACGGGAATAAGCAATGTAAGACATAGACAAAATTCATAGAGCTAGTTATTCGAATCCGAATACAGAATGTACCATCTGGGATTGGAAGCGAATTGTCCAATATGAACTGCTACAACGTTCGATCAATACGATACTCTACTAGATACAACTCGAACGTTTGAATGAAGCAATCAAGAGAGAGCGATCGGAATTGGCCAACAGAAAGTTACTATTTTCAACTTCAAAGAAATTTCTAGTCTCAAATATAAAGCAAGTGATGCAAGGATATTTTAAGCAGGTTTCTGTGTATGTAATCGATTTTCATACAAAAAAAAATTAACAGAAAGAAATAAATACAATAACAAAAACGACTCTAAGGCACAGCAAATGTGTGGCTAGCTAACAAAGAAGCCCGCAAAAGGAGACAGAAATTTGTACGGCAAACAAATTTTGCCGAAAGCAAGCATAACAAATATTTTCAATACAAACAAAGACATAAAAGTAAGTGAAGCAAATGCGGGTTGAACTGAGCTAGAAGAATAGCCGAAAGGAGAAATAAGTAGAAAAATAACATAAAACTGTAGAAGGCAAAATGTTGCAACAAGTAGCCAAAAAATAAATTAGTTTCGATGACAAGGTAACCATGCAGAAAAAGAGATTCGAGTCGGCGACACTGCAAAGCTGAGTTTTTTGGGCTAGTAGCTATACATGGGTGTGTTGAAAACCACAAACAGAATACAAGCTGGTTGCTTTATGGAGAAATTCTAGTTGAATATTTTCGATGGTCATTTGGTTTTGAGCCAGTTTTAAAGTAGTTAAAGTTGGGCATAATCGGCTTAAGACGATGGTAAAATGTACTTTTAACCATTTTAAGTATCCCGATGACACCAACCTTATCTTCGCTCAGTAATCGTTGGTATTCCCCTAAAATGTTCCGAAATAGCTTGTCATGCGTCAGCCATAATCAGCATTCTGTCTTAGTAGACATACAGACACTCACGGTGCAGATACAAATATAGACTTTTAGGAGCGCTACTTCTTTTCTACATGCATTTTTAACATTTTCTCTAATATTTGCTTATCCCTTTCCGGGAATACAGCTACGAAGTTCCCGCCAAAACTTTAACGCTTCAAGGGAGGCGTCAAAACTAGGGGTGACGTCAACGCTGCGGCTGAAGTATGAGGTTTCCATACTCAGTATATGGATCTCCCAGCGAACTTGTTAGTGTACTTAATTGCTGTTCTCCGGGATAGTCACAGCAAAGTTATATTTCTTTATAATTATAAATAGAGCTGCTGAGCTTTTTTTTTTTAAACTTTGCCGACGAAACGTCGGTTGACTTTATTGAAGCAATGATTGCCAAGTCAGCAGAGTAGACTACGAAAATAGACGATTTTTTTAGAGGTAATAATATGCTTCTGGAGACCTGAATTATTTGCCTGGACACTAATCTCTTCGAAGCACAAAAGCATATCCCATCCTTTTCAAGGGGAGGCAAAAGTTAAAAATGAGATCTCATCCTTTATTTAATGTACGAAAAATTACTAATCAGCAATCCTGTAGAAAAAAGTATTCCAATAGATTACCGATAAGAGAACCTTAGAACCTGTCAAAACTTAAACCAGGCTCGGAAGTCCAGATTTCCTAATAACTTTGTGTAGAAAATTTTCAGGGAGCTCTGTTGAACAGTTGCTAGGGACGTGTAGTCCGGCAATCTTAGCGAGAGGACATTCGGATGGTAATCTAAAGATGGACAACTGCAGCTCTGTTGGTGTAGGTCTCTGCGCCTGTAGACAGAGATGAACGCCTATCCTAGGGGCGCATAAAACTAGTCTCCATGCCCTTTGATATCTTAATGGAGGCTCCCGGGTACCTGGTCACCTCTGAAAGAGGGTGTAACGGTGGATTAACGGCGTCACGGGTTTCTGCTGCGGCTGTTCGCTGGTTTACGACTTTGTATTATTATATAATTATTCGGATTGCTGGAGATCCGTTCTTGTAGGTGTCTGCACCTGCAGTCAGGGGCGAACGCTAGGCATATCCTGTGTCGACGAGTGAACGGAGAAGCTCTATACTGAGGCGACCTCTAGGCGGAGAGAGCTCTGGTCCGCTGCTGACCTTGCGGCGGTATAGAAGGATGTGATCCAATACAGCCGGCGAACGTTGTCTCAGAGTTGATTCGTCTCTCCGTTTTATACCATCAAACTTTAAGCCCAGAAAGGTTATGTGGTAAAGATGGTATGCCCGATAGACACCGCGAGTGGTACCGTGGTAGACTTTCTGCCGCATTGGTGGGCCTATAAGGAAATAAGAGGTGAAAGAGGTCTACTCGTACACGACTGATGACTATCACGGCCCTCCCTCGATACGGCAACAAAATATGGTGAAAGCAGCTGACAAGAAGAATTTAGAC